AAAGACAATTTGGTAAAATATATATTCCAATAATCTTTTATTCCTTTAAAACACAGTAATCTTACATTCCTATTAAACCGACCAAACACAAAATACAACATTCCCAGTAATTCTATTCTCTGGTAATCTTTTATTCCCACTGGTAATTTTACATTCCGTGAACCAAACGCACTCTAAGGGATAACATCATTAATAAAAATAAATAAATAAAATATAAAAATAATTAAATTATATAAAAATTTAAAAATTTCGGGAGGATAATTACCTCAACTTTCCACTATACGTTATATTCCCATTTACACGTGTACGATAAAAGAATATAGGAGAGAAAGGGTAAAAGGAGATAATTATAATATGAAAAAAAATAAACATAGGAGAAAGTGGCCAAGTATGGTGAAGAAATTCTATATAACTCGATGCCTCTAGCAACTCCTTCGATCATATCGAAAACCCAAACCCTAATTTGTCCCCTTCGCCAACATGCCTTTATACGTGCCAAAATCCATAAGTCTTACCCTAAATGAAGAGCAACTGAAGGCTCTCTTCAAAGAACACGACACCGACGGTGATGGCCGTCTAAGTAAGGAGGAGTTGTTGAAAGCTTTCCAGAAACTGGGTTCCCGTAACCCTAGTTGGCGAGTCCGTCGATCGCTGTCTCATGCCGACGGCGACGGAGATGGATCCATCGGTTTAGAAGAACTTGACGAGCTTGTCAAATATGTTGTCAAACAAGGATATGGCGTAAACTAGTGTATTTTTGTGCTTTGTATAATATTAACTATATATATGCGTGTGTGTGTGTCGTACAATAAGTCGTCTGTGAAAGTTACTTGTGTTTGTATTTGCTTTTTGTTGTTTGCTTGTGTTCCAGCAATTTCATATGTTGAAATAGAAACAAGTTTCTTTCGTTGCAATCCATATAATTATATGATAACTGCAAATCTGTAATGAACGATTGCAACCTTTGTTAACCAGTGTGAAGCGGGTTATCGTAGCCGAATAGTAGTATCGCGGCCGCTATATCGCGGTTGCGATGGTGTCCGAAATCGCTATCGCAGAAAATAACGGTGTGAAGCGAGATCACATCAATAGCTGCGGATCGCGGCCAATCGCGGTAATAGCGGACCATTATTCCGCTATTATTCTGTTATTTTAATTTTTTTAAAAAAACATGTTTTTTTATTAAAAAATCAGCTCTTTCGAAAAAAATTGACGATCGCGATATCTGCAATGACCGCAATAACATCCGTTATATTTATAACAATAATAAACACGACGCGACTAAAAATGTGATCGCGAACGCTATTTAAATCCTCACGAAAATAAAGAAGCTTATGTCGTACAAAAGATTGGCACTGCCTCAATCGAGCTTATCGACTGGAAACCACCTCATGCAGGGTGGTACTGCCTCAATTCTGATGGTGCAGTGTCTGGCGCTACTTTAGCCGAAGGAGTTATCCGCGACAACATTGGCTCCTTCCTTTTAGCATTTTCCATAAAGATTGGTCATCTGTAACTCGAAAATTTTTGAGTCTAAAATTTTTAAGTTCGACTCGTACTCGAAATTATGAATTGTAACTAATAAAAGTTAAAAAAAGGCTCGAAATGAAAAAAAAAGCTCAAGTTTAACTAAATTGAAGTCTCAAACTTGAACTTAAACATTAAATACATAAAAACCTTATATTATTTTTGAAAAATCAACACGTAAATGTTAATATTATTAATAATTTATTATTTTTTTAAAATAAAATCTTAATATATTATATTTTCGAGCTAGTCACGAGCTTTTCGAGTAGAGTGTCAAGTAGCTCGTTTCAGCTCGTTATGAAGAAGAGTCGAGTATTTATCGAGCTTTGACCGAGTCACTCTCGAGTAGCTCACGATCTGTCTCGTCTCATTTACAGTCCTACCATTGTGTACGATGTCGTTAAACCTGCTTTCGAACTCATTATCCATTAAAAAAAAGGTAATGAGTTCTTAAGCCTTAATATTATGTTTATATATTAATAAAAATAAAATAAATTGACAGATATAAATCACAAAATTAGAAGATGTCCGAATAATTACTTTAGAAAAGGGTTCAAGACCCCTTGGCAATTTGGATTCGAGAATAAAGTCACCACTATTCATATTTTGTCTCATTGAATCAACAGTAACTAATGTTAACAGTACACCACGTGCAACTAAAATATAATTTTTTTAATTTTTAAAAAATATTAAATTATCATTTTATAGTTCTACCAATTTAGGAGGGTCATGGCCCTTCACGCTTCACCTCATTTAGGCCTTGGTTAGAATTAAAAGGAGCTCTACTTTTTGGCCCTTTAGATAAGGTCAGTGATAAGATAAAATAAAATAAAAAACATTTATTTTAAAATTAAAATTATTATATTTATTCTAGTGATTGATCTATTAATATATTAATTATAATAATAATTATGGTCTCATAAATTTATTTCAACATTATATATTTGTTTATTAATATATAAATTACAATACCGACAATAAATTGATTCAGTAGGATGAAATATTAGACTTTTTAAATAATGTCGGAATTCATAAATTCAAATCCCGATGATATGAATGTAATAGATATGCCTTGAAACAAAGGTCGTTATTCACATTGGCAATAAGATGAATTATTTAATTTTATGGATTTTTTTATATGAAAAGACAGTGAGATTCTTGTTAATCCAAGTCCAGTAGTTAAAAGAAAAGGCAGTCGTTCACGAGAGAGCATATATTGGGGTTGAACTCTCAAGGACGTTGTCACCTACTGTGAGCTCTGAGAATACAATTGTTATCCTGAATTATATAGTTTAATTGGTTTCTGTATCACCATGGCCATCAAGACTAATCATAAGAGCATCTCCATGGACGGAAAGCGTGTTATGACGATGGACGAGTTCAAGCAGTGGTTAAAGAAGTTCGACGCCGACAAAGATGGCCGTATCAGCAAGGAAGAACTCCGGAGCGCCGTTTACGAGACTGGGGGACGATTCGGCAGGTGGAAGAGCTGGCACGGGATACGATCCGCCGACACCGATGGCAGTGGCTTTATCGATGAAAATGAGATCGCCAACCTTGTTGGTTTTGCAGACAAATACTTGGGGGTCAGAATCCTTCATCTCTAGTGCATGATTAATAACGTTATGGGAAACAGGTGGTTACTGTTATTAATTCCCTTCTTATGTTATGCGATATATATATATATATATAAGCCTGCCTTTAGCGATCAATAAGTGCTGCTTTGAACAAAATATGTGTGTAACTCTATGGTTGAAGGATTTATATGATAAGCTTGTTAATTAATTTCGTTTGTTATGGCTTATATGTATTGTTAATGGTGTTTTTGAGGAAAAGAAATCAACATCTAACGTTTTAATAAGATTAGTTGATGGTTCTAATCAGGGATGGATCGAGCGGCGGACGTGAGTAGCTGTCTCCTGAAAATTTAAAATTACTATATATTTTAGGTTTTTTCTATGCATTTTCTATGGAAAATCTATTTTCTCCCCTAGGATTTTATAAATTAAAGTTCACCCCGTAAGTTCAAATTCACCTCCTAACATAAAATCATGTGTTCGTCCCTGGTTCTAATGATATAAATTTATTTATGACTCCACTTAAGATCTCATTTTTTTTAGAAGTGTTTTATAGAACTCATGGAGCGATTTTAGTGATAAAAAAGGTATTGTTCTCTTTAGATGTTTTAAATTTAAATAGTTATATCTGCAAGGTGTGTATGCGTTTATTGTTAATTGACTATTGAGATTATCTTTTGGACGGAGAAAATTATATTAGAATGACATCGTATTAACTATCGAGAGTTTTGGTGAACGAAAAACTTCACCTCGTACGGAAACAATTCGACTTTTTTCTACACTCCGCCTCATATTGGGTTGTATATGTTATATAATCCCAGTTTAGAATTTGATATATGTTGTATGTTTCATGCAATCCCAGTTTAGAATTTGGTGTATGTTGTATGTTGTATGTGTTGTACAATCCCAGTTTAGAGTTGAATTTATCAAAGTATTTGATAGAATAATAATCTTTAATTTTAAACTCAATAGCAAGAAATTTTTTAGTTTGATAATTTCCTCCGAGTTATCTTCGATTAAAATAATATCATCAACACAAACAACGAGAATATTTGAGAAAGATTACACATATAACTCCGTTAGTTGCATTCATTTGTGATTATTATTTCGAAAAACTTATCAGATTAGACACAAAGTGATTGCTTTAATCCATACAACGACTTCTTTATCTTGAACACTTAAGTAAATGTATTTTTAAAAAATCTCTTTCAAAACAGCATTTTTTGATGTCTGGTTGGTGCAAAGGCCACTATTACTTTTGATGTCAACCTTATGAACAAATGGGGGCTTTGGATTGTTGTACTCTTCTTTTATCAAACATGTGGTCGATATTATCTTTTCAGTAGGCCTTGAAATTATATCTATTTGATGTTTAATCAAATCATCAAATAAGTTTAAAATTTCATGGCAATCGGCATGGTATGCTCCCCACGCGCCCGGATCTCTTGGGATATGCCACTGTACGAGGAAGAAGGTTGGTCAATATTGTGGCAGACGTTATGTCCATCTCAAGTAAGAAGGCTAATCTGATAAAATATTGCGCTGAAGTTGTCATAACCTGGCCAGCACAGTGAGTTTCACATTGTTATCTTTGTTTTACCTAGATCACAACTGGTTGACCACTGGACAAAACGGTGGACGAGCACATCCTCCCAATGGAAATTGCTAATACCTCTGATGGGGTGCCCTCAACTTTTGGAACTCAACTTCGAAAATAAGACTTTTGTGTAGCAATCTGGTTCAAAAATATTCTCACTTTTCAAGAAAGACAAAAGTGTTTACCTAGGAAGCAAGATCATTGCCAAACCAGAGCCTTCCCTAAGAATTTGGTGAGTTCCAACAAAACCTTCTTTGCCTCCCTTAGTTCTTTTGAAACCCTGCTCTTGCTCTCCAATCATGGCCGAGGAAGTTGTTCCACAGCCACCGAAGCTGAGATGGTATTTATTGGATCGCTTCCAACTCAGGTCGAAGAGATGGATAAATGAATGGTGGCCAAGCTCATCTCCAACAAAATCACTGACGGTGAGGAGGTTATGCTGATGTTTAGATGTGCCTGGGGTTCAGGGGAACTACCTCGATCATCCTGTCTAAAGCAAAACTTCTTCTTATTCAAGTTTCATCAGTGGAAGAGAAAGTTGCTGTCCTAGAAAGAACTCCATGGAGTTTCGGCGCAGATTTCCTTGCTATAAAGGATTTTGAAACTCACTTAAGCCTTGACGAGTATGATTTCTCAATGCTTGCCATTTGGCTGCGAATTTACAACGTTCCTTTAGGCTGGATGAACCGGGAAATAGGGGAAGAGCTTGGCAACGCCCTTGGGAAGTTATTAGCGGTCGACCTCCGAGAAGGGGAGGGTAGATTGGGGGATTTCTTAAGGATCAGAGTCGAGCTGGACTGCAAATCACCACTGAGACGTTGCCTCACCCATGGAACTAAAGCGGATGGTCAGCCAAGAATCTGCCCGATTAAGTACGAGCGACTTCCCTGTTTCTGCCACCGATGTGGCATTATTGGTCATAGTGGGAGCTCTGCCCGAACAAAACGGATGACCATGAAGGGCGTCCTCGATACGGGGAGTGGCTCAAAGTCCAACCAGCTAAGAAGATGGCGGTAGCTGGAGAAAGAAGGAAGAAAGGGATCCTTATGTTTGCTACGGAATCCAAGGGGAGTAAGAACTCAAAGACTACAATCTGAAGCTACAACAGTTTTGAATGAAAGTAGTGCCCCACTTATGACTTTAACCGTGACCCCAGATGAGAGCGCCAAAGGGGCAGAAGCCACTAGTCAAACTGGGATGTGCAAAGAGGAAGAGAAGCCAAGAAACGAGACTGGTAAGCCTGTCTGCTTGGAGATCACTGCCTCGGAGACAAACTGGGTGAAAGGAGAACAATGTAAAATGGAGACAAGCCTGATATTAAGGTTTGAAGTGCAAAGCGTGCTTCACAAGGAAAGGTGGTGGAGGATGCCACGTTGAACCCAAAGAAGTCGTGTACCAGAACCGTTACTGAAGAAACAGAAATAGCCATTGAGGCGAGTGGCCAATCCAAACCGCCTATACCAACGGTGGAGGCTGCGGGGCAATCCCGCCCAGAACCATGATCATCCTAAGCTGGAATTGTTGAGGGCTTGGGAACCCGTCTACAATTCATGAGCTCAAGAGGCTTATTGCCTCAAAAAGTCCCCATTTGGCGTTTGCTTGTGAGTCTATATTATCGAGGAATAAAGTGGAGAAACTCAAACTTCGGATGGCTATGCATGGATGCTTCTTTGAACGGAGCAACCAGCGGAGGAGGTTCAAGCTGTCTTTTCTCAAATCAACCCCCAACAAAACCCCAATATTGATGGAATGTTGGCTGGTAATTTCTTCCGAACCTTTTGAAATATTGTCGGTGATGATGTAATTTCCTTTTGTTTAAGCCTTCTTAGGGTTGATACTAGCTTTGAAGATGTTAATCAAACGATCATTGTTTTGATTTCAAAAATTGCATGCCCACATCTAATGAACAATTTTAGATCAATTAACCTTTTGCATGATCATTTATAAACTGACTAAAAATTTATGCCGATATTAAACTTAGGGTGTGTTTGTTTGTCGTAAAATCAATTACGAAATTGGTTTTTTCCGAAATCCGTGTTTGTTTCATGTAATTCATTTTTCGGAAAATGTTTTCCCGTATTTGTTTCACGTAATTCGTTTTCCGGAAAATATTTTCCCGTGTTTGTTTCACGTAATTCATTTTCCGGAACGCAATTCATTTCCTAGTAACATAATTTCCTTTATGTTTTCTGTAAAATGATTTACAATTCATTTTTCGTAAGTTATTTTCTGAACTTTTTACTTTAAAACAAAAATACTCAAAATAATTTTATTTTATGAATTTAATATTAATAAAATATTTTAATACCATTTTCATCAAAATATTAATTATTAAAATATTTAAAATATATTTATTAATATTTATAATAATATAATATTATATTTTTAGTTTAATAATATAATCAATTATATTATAATAATATAAGATATAATATTTTTTATTTTAATAATATATAATAAATTTTTTTATATATTTAATAATGAATAATATTATTTATATATTTAAATAATATTTTAGTAAAGATATTTAAAATATACTAATTAATATTTTTAAAATATAATATAACACTATTACTTTAATAAATAATTTATAATATTTTATTTCACTAAAATATACCAATATTAATATTTTTATTAATAAAATTATTAAAAAAATATTTAATAATAAATAAATTATTTTAATATTTTAAAATAATAAATATTAAGTTTTATGATAAATAATATTATTTATTATATTTAATATTTGTAATAAATAATTTTTAAAAAACTATTCAACTAGTGGAAAAAATGTTTAAATAACATCTTCCAAACATCATAAAACATTTTCCAGATGTTTTCCAGAAATGTAATTCATTTTCCAAAAATGTAATTCATTTTCCAGAATTCAAATTCCAGTAATTCATTTTCCAATAATTCAAATTTCAGTAATTTATTTTTCGAAAAATCAATTGCAGGCAAACAAACATATTAATACTAAAAAAGTTTATGATAAGGTCGAATGGGTCTTTCTTGCTAATGTTATGGGGAATGATTACCTGAGAGAAGGACTTAATTAATTTATATAAAAAGTTTGAGCGTTTATATAATATTTTTAAAAATTTAAAATATATTAAAATTTAAATATAATAAATAATAAAATAATTATAATATTAAAAATTACTAGAAATAAAATATTATTAAAACGAAATAAAAAGGAAAAAAAAAAACATGAAGCTATAAAATGATAAATCATAAATTATTAAAAATTAAAAGTTTGGCAATGGAATCCGGAAACCAGTACCTGAATTTCCGACGGTGGATGAAGGAGATGAAATATTTTAAAAAAGGGGTAAATTAAAAATTTATCCCTAAACTATTTTAAGTTTTCAAAAAAACCTAAAAGTAATAGTTTATTTAACGTTCAAGGATTAAAATAAAAATTAAACCCTTTCTCTAACACGTCACATCTTAAAATAAAGATTAAACATTTTTATTAATGTGTCATGTCTTCAAACCAACAACAGTAAACATCTCAAAAGTAAAAGAAGTGAACAAAAAATTAACTTTTTGAATTCGATGAAGAAAAATATATAAATATTAAACGAAAGTGAATAATCCTGTAATTTATCCTTAATTAAAAAATCGATTCATTGTATCGGTTCAAGTAAGATTATTTAAATGAATTGCAATTTTATTTTAAAACTGAAGCCGGAAGGCACTTTGCCTTCTGAAAGAACTTGATTAGTACAGGGGAGGAGAAAGTTCAAATGTGTGCTGACGAGAATCCACATCCTGCAGACAAGCGATGTCTACCGGTCCCCAAAAGCAAAGCTGGTCTCAACTGTGATGCATGAATGCTCAAAATGCCTATTCCTCAAACACGGGCAACATCCAGCTACTAGGTTTTCATAAAACATCAACGACAATAAATTATACATGTTCGCATCAACCAAGCATATCTACATGTATTGTACACTATGAAACAGAACCATAGCTGCAAGGTTGAGAAAGAATAGTGGAATTTCCAAATTTTTTCTATACCAAAGATGCACCTTCCCCGTTGTCAAAGGAAAGAAGGAACAAATAACCAATGATACATAAACAAATTTGATTCAGCGAGTTTTCTTCCTAGCTTTTGACACATGTGTGTTGATACTCATCAAACTCCCTATGTTATAACATCACATCCAGGTCCACTACCATTTACTGCTAGCTCTGTGAATTTGGAGCGACTGGTATACAATGCAATGAATACATATGGAGAAAAGGACTTACCCTTGAAGCATGCCACTGTCCACTGCCAAGTTTTCTGGTCAAGTTTTCGGCTTTTTTTTGTTTTACATTTTTCTTTCCACTTTCACTTGAGGTAAAACACATCTCCTCGCTCCCCAAGCTGCAAAACTGAAATCTAAACCCACATTTCAACTCTGATCTTCTGACTTGGGAGTATAAATTCAAAAGGGCGTTTGATGCCCGAAGAAAAATAGATTACTATAATGAGAATGCACCATTTCCCCCAGTCATGATCACCGCCGCCAGAGCAATTGTTAATGCCCACAAAACCCAACTGTATCTGGAAAGGTCTAGCTAGTCAGTGTCCCTACCATGTCTATCTGAAAAAAAGGAAAAACAAGAAGGAAAAAAATGAATCAAGGGTCTTTAGTTTATCAACATGAATACCGTAAGAAATGGAGGGAGAGAGATCTGCCGTTACTTCCTGATGGTCTTTTCCCTTCCATGGCTTCTCTCTTCTCCTGGCAACTAGAGCAAAGGAAAGGACCATCCCATGGACGCAATACTGAATTAGATATGCCAACATGAATTGAAACGCCCTCTCCAGGTTTCATCTCTAATTGATAGATTGCACACACAAACAGCTTAAACATGTTGCACAATGGATATTTTGTATCCAACCTGCATCAACAGAAGGGTCCTAATGAGATCAACTATAAACTACATCCTCTCCTCATTCGTAGTTTATAGTTGATCTCATTAGACTATTCTCATAAACACTAACCTTTCTGAAAGCATAGCAGATCCCTCCTCAAATAATTCCTCCACCACATCTGGCTCAATGTGTTCTTTGTCATTAGACGATGATCCAGAATTCTTCTTGCGGAACATGCCCTTTAACATACATTTGTTAGGCTTCTTCGGTGGCAGCGAAGGTGCAGCTGGCTTATCTGGTGGTAAGATATCAACAACAATGCAGGTTGTATCATCTCGAAGACCCTGACTGTACAGCTTCCTGTTCATTGGAAACCAAGGAATCAGAAATCATGAGGAAAGGCAAACTTATACCAACATATTCCAAAGCCAAATGGGCATAGTGCTCCCAGCAGCAATATCTGAAGAGCATAACGCAGAAAAAATAATATGAGTTTACTTTCACAATCTGTGCAGCAGCTGCATCTGGTGACATTCGGCGACAACAATCAAGAGCTTCTTCAGCTGATAAAACATCCCAAACACCATCACTAGAGATAATCATCCTACCACCAGCTGTAGATAACTGCAGAAAATATAGTAGTAGGTAAAATAAAACAATTATTAACAATGAAGATAAAATGTTTTCTAATTTTAGATAAAACACTAACTCAGTCAAACAGAGCCATTCCAAAGAAAACTGATTAAAAAACAAAAATCCAAATGCAAAAGCACTTCAATGTGCGAGCATAGGACACATGAGGATATGAAATTAATGACTATACTATATACTTAACTAGCGGGAACTTAGATTAGAAATGGTCATGGTTAGAAGTTCAAAGACCACCATTACAGCCAAGTACATATCAAATCTCTTAAAAGAGATGCATAAGGGAAAAAATTAACATATCGTGAATTAAAATGTACAGAACATGATATTTAAGCAATAGTGGCAGACCATTGAGTGAGCCATGTGGAGCCTAACCCGCATAACTTCTTATTATACATTTCAATCTATTCAATAAATTTGAGATTGTTTTTAATAGATTTGTATATTTATGAATCGCGAAAACTACATGTTTTATGAGATTTGTATTTTTTTTAACTGCTGTATAGTTTGCAATCATCTTGTGTATTAGAAAACGTTTTAGAAATACCTCAAATGAAAATAGATAAATATATAACTTCAAAAGCACCCCTTAAATCAAATGTCAAGATCTCACACTACTAAGCACAGAAGTTAAATCAACAAATATCAAACAAATTATGCAGGTAGATTATGGAAGACAAACCTTTACTTGCTTTACGTATGGAACAGGAACAATGAACTCCCCAGCATCCATATCACCAATGGTTCGTGAAAGGCACAAACCTCCAGGCCAACATCTCATGGATCCAATATATAAAATAACTTCACCATTAGGTCACCAGCTTTGATCCACACAATTAATCAAATATAGTTTTCTCTTATACTGCAGATACTGAAATTCTCTAATGAGAATCAATTGACCATTGTTTACAAATATTAAGAGTATAGAGTTTATTAGGCCTGCAGCACAGCAATATAAATAACCAAAAGGCTGTTGCAAATGACAATTGTTAAAGCTAAAATTAGTAAGGTCTACAAAAGGGTCCTTTAATTCACATCAATTATCAAATACGTTCAATGTTTTCTGGTAAACTGCCGAAAGAGTCATGCATTGCTGAACCTAGCTTCTAGATTGTGTTTTACTTTTACAAGCATGGTGGTTGCACATACATTAACATTGATATCGAGGGTGTTAAGTTTCACTGATGGGGAGAAAATACTAAGAATCTAGAGAGAAAAAATAGTCAAGGAACTCAAAATGCATTAAGATACACACTTGTAGGGGAAGAGGAGATACCTCTGCACCACTACCGGCATTTAACCGACCAATCTCACCCCCACGTGTAGTGATCCGTTCCCTCCTAATAAGATGAAAAGAAGAAGTAAGACCTCAACATTTAGGGGAAACTTAAATACAGCAATCACCATGACAAAAACTTACTCCTCTTCATTGCATTCAAGCCTATGATCAGCTGACAAGTAGTATATTCCACCTTCAGCTGATTCAAATATACAGCGGGAATCACCAACAGATGCAACTGTTATAACCCATCCTTCTATTATCACAAAGGTTACAGTTGTTCCTGACGTTTTTGCTGGGAAAAAACCATGCATCTCTGTCAAATACTAAACATGTGGGAGTAAACTCAAGGAGAAGTTATTACTCAAGGAGACGTTTTTCTTGGCGCCTGTTAAGCGAAACGACATGTAGGCTCATGATATCGAAAAATAAGAAAAGACCAAGTCCATTTGTCAATTTATCCAGTTTCCTCAAAGGGAAGTCCTGCGATTGCATTTGCATGCAAAGAAACTTTAATTTTTAAAGAAAAATGAAATACAAATGCACTTTTTGCCCGATAATATCGGTAAATTTGGCTCACTAGGTTAGGTGGGATTAAAAAATTAATCCATTAGGTTATTTTTTAAAATTAATTTGAGATATGATATTTATTATAGTGACTTGAAATTAGTCATATCGTCATAAAAAATTCAGTAAAATATATTTTTTATTAAAATTTGTCACTCTGACGTGACAAAATTTAATGAAATTTTTTTTATTAAAATTTATTATGTCGACGTAATGAGTTTAAATAAAAAATATTATTTAAATAAAATCATCATATAAATATAACATCTTTACCATACATCATAACATTTGTCGTAAATCTCAAAGTAAAATATGAATTGACACAATGAGTTAATTTTTTTATCAACTTATTGGGTCAATATTACCCCATTGTCACGTAGCTGTGATAGCGTAGTGTGGGTTCCATAAAGCATGGGTCCATTTAATTTAGGAAACTAATTTTTCTCTAATTGCCAACCTAACCCTTTGACCTCCTCCATCGTTGACCGCGAAATTCTCGGAGCCAATTGCTCTCTGTAATTGACTACCACGTCATCCCATCTAATCCCACTCGCAGATAATCGTTTTATATAAAAATAAGTATTTAAAGAATATCTCGAAAAATATTAATTTTTTTTGGTTAAAAATAAATGTTTAAAGTTTTTTTGTTATATTTTTAAGTGATCACTGTTAAAAAATTATTTAAAAATATTTTTTAAAAATATATACGTGATACGTGCCACTTAACGGTTTAAAAAAATAAAATATTATTTAAAAATATTTTTAAAAAACATATACGTGATACGTGTCACTTAACAGGTTTTTTTTACGTTAGGCACATAAAAATATAACGGAAAAAACTTTAGACACCTATTTTTAGATAAAAATTCTTTAAGTATCAAAAGTTAATTTTGAATATAGTTTAACTACTTATTTTGATATTAAGCCTCCCATGATTATCAAATTCCACATTTCATTTTTTTTTAGTTACTAAAGTATAAATTATTACAATTCTTTTTTTATGTAAAAATTAATACAATTCTTAAAAGGTAAAAGGAATATTTTTTTTTAAATTAATGATTGATATATGATTTATTGATCAATTTTAAGTCAGGTATTGCAGAGACAATGAAGACCCTTCTAACCTAGTTTGTTTCATTCACAAATGCCAAAGTTCGAACCCCTAACCTTACTTAAGAAATCTAATACCTCATCTCACTAGACCAACTAATTGTTAATAAAAAAACATTTTTCTTCTTTTATTTGCATACTTTCTTATTTCTCTTTAGTGTAAAGGATGAATGTCACGTGAATCATAATTCAAAGTCTCAATCAAGTGTTAACTCAAGCAATAATAACTAAAAAAAAATGGTATAAACCTTCTAGGATCGTGCCTTTAGCGTGAGAAATGCTCATATAATGAGAAACATTCTAATTTTTTCTAATTGTACTTAAAAAATATAGGGTAAACTATCGGGATACCACTAAACTATGGTCATTAATCAATCTTGTCATCGAACTATTTTTTGTCTCAATTCGACTACCAAACTTTTTAATTGATTCAATCAGACCACTCTCCCTTAAAAAAACGGACTTACTGACGTGTCCGTTGATAAAACTGGCATAATTATATATTTAGTCCTTAATATTTATATATTCTATCAATTTAGTCATTATTTTAATTCAATTAAATAAATTTAACTATCCAATTAAGACGTAACTCGTGTCAATAAATGATTGGAAGATTTTATTTATAAATTTTAAATTATTTAATTAAATAATTTTTAACCAATCAGGTGGTGACACATGTAACCACCCAATTGAAATGGAAAATAAAAAAACACAACAATACACCCAAGGAGATTCGAACTTGTGTATGTAGGGAGAATAATTAGGCGCCCAAACCGTTGGGCTAAGGGTCTCGTATAGTTCTAACTTACAACATCTTGTATTTGACTTAAAATGGAAAATTGAAGAACAAATATGAGCACAAGGAGAATCGAACATGTGTCTGTAAAGGAGAGTAACTAGGCGCCCAAACTGTTGGGCTAAAGGTCTCAAATGATTTTAATTTACAACAATTTGTATTTTAGTTTTAAAAGTTTGTTAATGAAAAAATTCGGTTCAATTAATGGTTAAAGAAAAAAATTCGGTAAATAATTTTCAAATAAATTTCGGATTGATTAACGGTTAAAGAAAAAATAATTTATTTTATTCGGTTAATAATTTTCAAATAAATTTTGATTCAATTAACGGTCAAATAATTTCGATTTGATTAATGGTCAAATAATTTCGGTTCGATTAATGGTTAAAGAAAAAAATCGGTTGATTTGGTTCGGTTAATAATTTTCAAATAAATTTCGGTTCGATTAACGGTTAAGGAAAAAATAATTTATTTTATTCGGTTAATAATTTTCAAATAAATTTTGATTCGATTAACGGTCAAATAATTTCAATTCAATTAATGGTTAAAGAAAAAAATCGATTGATTTGGTTCGGTTAATAATTTTCAAATAAATTTTAGTTCAATTAACGGTTAAAGAAAAATAATTTATCTTATTCGGTTAATTCGGTTAATAATTTTAAAATAAATTTGGATTCGATTAACGGTCAAATAATTTTGGTTCGATTAATGGTTAAAGAAAAAAATTCGGTTAATAATTTTAAAATAAATTTGGGTTTGATTAACGGTCAAACAATTTCGGTTCGATTAATTTGTTTTGGTTAATATTTTCAAATAAATTTCGGTTTGATTAACGGTCAAATAATTTCGGTTCGATTAATGTTAAAGAAAAAAATTCGGTTAATAATTTTCAAATAAATTTCAGTTCGATTAACGGTTAAAGAAAAAAATAATTTATTTAAACAAATAATTTTATTTTTTATTATTAACCAACTTTTATAAGTCAAATACAAATTGTTGTAAGTTAGAATCATATGAGACCTTTAGCCCAACGGTTTAGGCGCTTGATTATTCTCCCCATGGACACAAGTTTGATTCTCCTTGGGTGCATTGTTGTGTTCTTCTATTTTTCATTTCAATTGAGTGGTGACTCGTGTCGCCCGTGACACGTTTTAATTGGATAATTAAATTTATTTAATTGAATTAAAATAGTGACTAAATTTAATAGAATATGTAAATATTAAGGACCAAATATATAATTATACTAGTTTTATTGACGGACACGTCAACAAGTCTATTTTTTTAACGGAGAGTGGTCTGATTGAATCAATTAAAAAGTTTGGTGGTCGAATTGAGACAAAAAATAATTCGTTGACAATATTGATTAATGACCATAGTTTGGTGATCTCCCGTATAGTTTACCCAAAAATATATAGCAGCAACCTATCAACTCGGATTCTAAGGCCTAAAACACAAAGAAAAGGGAAAAAGGTAAAATACATCATTCCTCATTTAATTTTACTAATTGTATTTTTAATTTTTTAATTTACTCACTAAACTTTTTAAATTATTCATATTTTGATCACTCTGAATTATTTTATTATTTTTGTATAATATGGAATTCATCATTATCATTATCATTATCATCATCATCATCATCATCATCATCATCATCATCATCATCATCATTATTATTATTATTATTTAAAATATAAAATAAAAACAAAAGGTAGTCGGACACCACCACCCCATCATTCGATCTGAAATTTCATTGGTAGGTTCGCCTCCACCCCTGAGTCCGAATACGGTGGTTGTTTTGCCAAAAATGTCCCAAAAACCCATAAATCTCTACTAAAACATTTCAGGTTCCTCACTTTTGATCTCCAATTCGAAGACTTCAGAGCAAGTTCTGACGAAATAGAGGTTGAATTTGGACTTAGGGTGTAGAGCCGAAGCTACCCATGAAATTTGAGACCGAACGACCACTATAGACGGTTGTCGACGACGACTTACAATGACGTCTGACCACCTTTTATTTTTATTTTATATTTTAAATTATTTTATATTAAGTAATATTAATAATAATATGCCACATCATACGAAAATAATAATAAAATAATTTAGAGTGATCAAAATAGGAGCAATTTAAAAGTTCAGTGAGTAAATTAGAAAAATTAAAAGTATAACGAGTAAAATAGAAGAAAGAATAAAGTTCAATAGACAATGGTGTAATTTATCCCCAAAGAAAAAATATAGCCCAATCCAACTTGAGGACGCGCGCTGTGCTAGTATTTGTGAGACGTGGATGGAATATAGCTATTAAGCTTAATACCCCGTACCCAGCCCTCATAGCTAATATTTTTTTCAAGGTTACGAATCTATTTTACCGACTTTTTTTTTTGCATACATTATTCCATCGATCAGATGGAAGTATTTGAGACCGATTACAGGTAGAAAGTGATATTATAGATAGATGATAAATATCGATACTTTTATAAAATATTATAGGTAGAAAATGATATTGTCAGTTGTATAAATGTATCGATATTTGTATAAAAGAAAGTGCAACTTAAATCCCTTGTTACCAAATACAAAGTATAAACATAAAAGGGAATTGCTTATGCAAAGGATATTATAGACGTAATCAACGTAGTTCACAAAAAATAATCATATATTTAGGTCATTCAATAAATAAGCGGGGTTAGTTGTGCAACATCATCCCCTTATTGAAGTTTGTGATCTTTATTTTAGAGGGTGGATTGATTCTTAAGTTACAAGGTCGAAGACAATTGATTGTTATCTGAGAGACACATTTGACATCCATCTAACAATAGTTGGTGGGGCAAGAGGTTGTTGACTTTGGCATTCTTTTTTCTTTTG